CCCCAAAACCCCAAAACCCCAAAACCCCTTAAGTGAAAATTTAAAGTTTTCTAATATTAAGTGAATTAAAATTTTAATCAGAATAATTATTCACATGGAAACTTTGGAAAAGTAACTAGAATCTCTAAGTATAAAAGACGAAGTAAATGAAAAAGATAGTTTAAAAGATATTAAACAAATTTAAAATCAAACACAATCTCGTAAGATTGGATTTCTCTACAATAAATTTATGCTGAAGCATGAAAACTTTAACGAGTAGCATGTTGAAAGACCAGATAGAATAAGAAGTATTTATAATCATCTGAAACATAAAGGCATATTAGAAACTTTAACAAATATACCCTTTCATCCAATTGATTTAAAATATCTCTAAATGACACATTAACAAAAACTTATTGATGAGGTGAATAATTCTGTGTTTAACTAAAGAAAATTAAAGAAAGGGGATAAGATTATGAAATCAGAAAGGGAAATTCATAATTTAGATCCAGATGTCTATGCTAACAAGTATTCAAAAGAATGCGCTTATCTTGCTGCAGGAGCTACTGTTGAAGCATGTAGAGCAGTCTTCTCACCAGATAAGCAAGTTGATTCAGCCTTTGCCTGTGTGAGACCTCCAGGGCATCACGCTACTTGCAACAGAGCTCAAGGCTTTTGCTTTTTTAATAATGTTGCAATAGCTTCCAATTACTTGATTTCAAAACTCGGTTTCAAAAAGATTTGTATTTTTGATTGGGATATTCATTGTGGAGATGGTACTTCACAACTTTTCTATGAAAATAGCTCTATACTCTATATTTCAATTCATAAATACAATAATGGCTAGTTTTATCCTGGCAAAGATGGAAGTCCAGACCTGATTGGTAAAGATTAAGGTAAAGGATTCAATATTAATTTCGGATTTTCAGCCAGCTATACTACTTAAGTTGGTGATGAGGATTATATATATGCCTGCAGTGATTTACTTTTCCCCATAATATAAGAATATAATCCGGAAGCAATTTTGATATCTTGTGGTTTTGATTCTGCTAAAGGTGATCCATTGGGAGGCATAAATGTTACCCCAATAGGATATTCTTGGATGACGTTTGGACTTATGAAAATTTGCCCCAATATTGTCGTAGTTTTAGAGGGAGGTTATAATCTCAAAGCTTTAGCTCATTGTAGTGAATCTGTAATCGAAACCCTGAAATTAGACAGAATGAAAACTGAATTATTTAATGATTATATTAAGGAAGCATGGAGAAGTGATTTTGATTTTGATGGGTTAGTTGAAAATTGCAAAGAATAAGTGTGCAAAGAATTCATTATATTAAATAATTATTTGAAGGGACTTTTGAGACCTTTTTGGAAGTGCTTGGCTATTGATAGCAATTGAATATCAACTTTGCTTATGATAGTTTTATTTAATTCAAAAGTTAGGGATAGTCTAAAAATTTAATTTTTATTATTTAATTTCTTTTGATCCAGCATATAAATCTTATTTTTAAAATAGTGGCGGGGTTTTGGGGTTTTGGGG